CAAAATCCTTTGTTGATTAGTTTCACCAATGTTTTCTTCTACCTTTTTTGTTTTATATTGATTTTTTTTTTTTACTCAGTTGAAATTTATTTTGGTGTGAGAGGCAAAAGATTCCACTTTATTTCCCTCCCAAATGGTTAGCCAGTTATCCCATATTGACTTATTAAATAATCTACTAAGGGTCTGAAATAACCTTTATCACATACTAAGTGTCCATATACATGTTTGTGTTTGCTGCTGGACTCTATGCTTTCTGATCTCTTATTTTTTTACATGCTTAATTATTGCAACTTGACACATTTTAGTAGTGAGCATAGCTAGTTACCCTGCATCACTACTGTTTTTCATATCCCCTTCCTAGCCATTCTGACCTGTTAAAATTTTTTTTAAATTTGGATTTTAGAATAATTCTCTAAAATTCTCTCTTCTCTTTACAAACCCTGTTGCATTCTATCTCACTGAATCTACAGATTGACATAAGGAGAAATCACATTTCGACAATCGTAAATTTCCATACATAGTATAAGTCATCTTGAAAAATGTCTCCTATGACTCAGGAGGTTTATTTTTCTATTATATTTGGTTATTGCTGGAATATAGAAAAACTTTTGGATTCTATGAATACCTATGACTGCTTTAACGAAGTAACACAAACTAAGGGACTTTAAAAAACTGAAGTTGTCTCATCATTTGGGAGGCTACAATTCCAAAATCAAGGTCTTGGCTGAGCCGTACTCGCTCGAGACATAAGAATCTTTTCTGTGCCTTCCTCTTAGCTTCCAGTGTCACCTGTTATCCCTTGGCTTGCAGCCACACAATGCCAATCTTGCCTGATTGTCCCACTGTCTTACTTAGTGTGTCAGTCATATTACATTAGACCTATCCCACTCTAGTATGACCTCATCTTAACTGATATCTGCAACTGATACCTTATTTCCAAGTAAGGTCATATTCTGAGGTTGTAGGGGTTAGGATTTCCTTTTTAGGGGGATGTAATTCAACCTATAAAAGTTCTATATGTTCATTTTGTAACTACCCACTTTAATATCCTCATTGCTTCTGATTATCTTAAAGATGACTGACTTACGTTTTCCTGATACACTTATTGACTACATATCAAAATGCCTTTTTCAATATTTTCATTTTACCTTTTTATCTAATTTCATTGGCTAGTATTTTATCTCACAGACAACACATATTCATCATTCATCTTTTAAAATTTTGAATTATTTTAAAACTTTAAATTTGGTTACTACTGAAACATTTAAAAAGCTATCCATTTGCATTCCTTAATTTGTGAACTGTATTTCTGTGCTATTTTTTTATATGCTGGGGATTCTGATTAATTTTAAAGGGCTCTTTGTGCATTAAAGATATTAATCTCTTGTGACATATATGTACCTTGTCAACTAGCCAACAGTCAACCAAAAGCACAAAACAAAGGCACAGATCTATTGTAACATAAATTAATTTTACCTTTCTGTGCAAGTCCAATACATGAACAAATACCTCTCATATTACGAGAGCTGTAAGACTAATAGTGGAGTGCAATGTAAATTTACATGAAGCACCCTTGAAAATTTCAAGTACACTGATACTTATAACTTGTTTCATAGTGCACCATTTCTAAACCATTCAATTTCTTCCCAGCTAAAGCACTCAAGAGTATCAAGGACCAAATTATCTGATTAACCCTTTCTTACCAAATGCTTAACAGCTCTTGCTCACCAGCATGTCAAGTTTACACTGACATTTAAAGGTCCTGACTTGCCATCAAAGAAAGGATTAATCTGTCCTTGGTTTATCTAAATGACCAAATAATAAGATTTAAGTGATAACCAGCTGTAGAATGTGTCCTTATTAAATTTGATAGGATTTTTAAAAAGCCAACTAATGTAATGAAGTTTGCAAAGTAATTTAGATTAACTAGGTTTGACTGCTCAATTTGGAAGTGATTCAAAGCACAGGTATAGGCGTAGAGACAATTTTTAAATCTTAGGCTTTGAATATTCTTGACTGGAAAGTCAAGAAATGTCAAATGAACATTAACATATATTGCCATAACCAGCTTTCATCACTCTTTACATTCCTTCCTAAGGAACTGTTTACATGACTTACCCACCTGGTACAGCATAGGATTAAGGAAAGATGACTTGGTTCTTAGGATGTTAATACTTCTCCAGAATGGAAATGTTCCAAAAGCCCAGCCTGAAAGCTTCTGGCCAAGACTTTGGAGAAGTACTTTGATTTACTAGGACTGACTCTCTGTGGGCCAAGAATGTCCAAGTGAAATTCTAGAATTTGGGAATGCTCTTAACAACAGCATTAAAACTGGCCGAGATTTGGTGCCTTTACTCATTTCACCCGTTATATTTCTTTATTATATGAACTTTCTTACTTAGAAATGATGTGCCCTTTGCTGAACGGAAAACAATACAAAAAAGTTAGGCTTACAGCCCTGGCTGGCGTAGCTCAGTGGATTGAGCACGGGCCTGAGAACCAGAGTATCGAGGTTCGATTCCCAGTCAGGGCACATGCCTGGGTTGCAGGCCGGTTCCCTGCAGGGGACTCACAAGAGGCAACCACACATTGATGTTTCTCTCCCACTCTTTCTCCTTCCCTTCCCCTCTCTCAAAAAATAAATAAATAAAATATTTTTAAAAAAAAGTTAGGCTTACTACTTGATTCTGTCACTTGTCTTTGTTTTGCCTATCTGTCCTCTGCAAGCCATTGTATTCGTCTGTGCAAGGACTAAGAACAGCTAACCAATGTTAAGTGATTAAACTTGACCATCGTGACACTTTATACCAACAGTATATATGACATTCACTTACACAACTGCTCTGAGACCTAAGAAGTATTACAGATGACAGAACTTTTATAATTAAACCAAGGTCTGATTGTACTGTATTAGGGTAGTATTTTTCACAACCCACTAGCAGGTGGTCACGATCACTACTAAAAAAATGAAACAATAAAAAACATCTGAGGAATTGTACATATTATGGATACTTATTATTTTGTGTACTGGGTCAAAATGGAAAATGTTTCTTAGTGTGATTTGTAGCCAAAACAGTTTGAAAAGCTCTGTGTTGTGTTTTTGATGTGATGGAACCCTTCATGGTATTCTCTCACTCCAAAGGTTAGAGATGTTTTTACTTTTTATTTATTCTACAAATGCTTATAAGCAACTGCTATATTTTAGTTGGGGGTCAGGTGTTGGCAGTAGGGAGAAAAGGCAATATTCCTTTTGGAAATTTTTACCTATTGTTACACAGATACAATGTTTTAAATAAAAGCTTAAAAACAAGTTAACGCTGAATCACTTACAACTGTTCTTATTAATTTAATGTGCCTCTTGGTCATGAAAAGTTAAGTGGAATGTGTCAAAAATTCCCAGGAGTAGGCTTTCACAGAACTCTAGGCTTTTTGCTGCTTCTCATCAGTACTTAGCGAGATCCAGTATAAAATCTATAGTTGAGGTAGAAATTGTCTAAAGATATGCTTTTTTTAGCTACCTTGCTTTTTGGCAAGAAAATATTTTTCCAATAAACAAGATTCATATCATACAATTTGTGAGAGAGAAAGGAAGGGGTGGGGGAGAGAGAGAAACATCGACTGGATGTGTCCTATATGCCCCTGACCAGGGATCAAACTCACAGCCTTATTAAGGTGTACAGACAACATTCCAACTCAGCCATCCAGTGAGGGAACTTTTTTTTTAATGGTGTGCAATCTTCAAGCTTTCATTGGTCAGAAAACCATTTGCTATGAATACATACAATATTTGGCAAAATACTGAAATGAGATGTTTTACATTAAAAAAGTCAAATACTTTCTTTAAATGATATCTCATTTAAAAAAAAAAAAAGGGCCAAACTATCGGGTGCTTAGTAATTCCATCTACAAATATTTTCAATTCTGCTGGTACTCAAAGCTCTCATATTGAACCTCAGTATCAGAATTTACAATGTAATTATAGTTTTTATTTTCACACTCTTCTCTCCTACTAAAATACTTATTAAATGGCATACAATATGTTTCAAGATGATGACATTTCAATTTAGAAATGCTTCTGATGTATGTTATCCTCTGATGAAGTAATTTTCTGCATGTACAAAGATTTTATAAACAATACATTCTGTGCTTTAAAACAAGAGTAGCCTTTATAAATTAACATTAGGAAAGAATACTCCACTTCTCTAATCTTAACATATTCAATGTTTTGATTTCTAGCAACCATTTGCAACTTCCAAAAATCAAATCACACTATGAGTCTGTAGCTGCAAAAATTCAAGTTTTATTATTTTCTTCAATTATGAGTTTAAAGTTTAAGTGCTATTGTAACTATTTTGGTTCATTAGGTCACTGTTCATGTTAGGCTGACAATATAAGGCTCATACACATTTTCTAGTAATAGAGGAGAACATGAGTTGTTACATATTTTTGGAAAATGGACTCAAGTGGTTAGGTAATGGGTTTATAATTGTACTGAAAAAATACCTGTGATAAAGCAATGCTCTTTTCTAGTTAATCAAAAATAATCCAGGTTTGGCTATGGCCAGTGTATTTTGGAGCCGGCTCATTACCTTCCCAACTCTGTGTTCAGTGATGTCACGTTACTAGCTTGAAATAGGTCACAGTAGTAGAATTTACACCACAAAACTCAGCAACAGCTGCAACTCAGAGGTTCCTTTCCCATCTTCAAGAGCCATTAAACATTTCCCAACACACCAGTGGCGTTAGATGCTATTCCTTCAAAATACAACTCAATTCTTTATCGCTCATAGGAATCTTTATTTGAACATTAAATGGTTGGTGTTTTCTGTATAAATCTTTCTGGAAAAAAATTTAAATGTTTCTCATTAGTAGTGAAAATGATAGACTTTCACTGTGAAGTGATAAATACATGGTTCTTCTCTTCTAATCAGGGGGTCGAACCCTATTCAAAAGAAACTGCTCAAAATTTGGATTTTTATCTAAAAAATAAAATGGTATCCTGATTTTTAAAAATATTTTATTTATTTTTAGAGAGAGGGGAAGGGAGGGAGAAAGAGGCGGAGTAAAACATCAGTGTGTGGTTGCCTCTCGTGTGCCCCCTACTGCGTTCCTGGCCCACAACCCAGGCATGTGCCCTGTCTAGGAATCAAACCAGCAACACTTTGGTTTGCAGGCTGGTGCTGAATCCACTGAGCTACACCAGCCAGGGCGGTATCCTGTTTTTAACTCAAACCACACTTATAAAGCAAAATATTTGAACTTCAAATAAAATCTAACAAATTTTAATTCTCTGTCAAAAATGTCTATGACTTAATAATGAAAGTTTAATTAAAATATTTTGTAAAAAAGTATAAAAAACAATTTTATTAGACGAATTCATTTATTTGACACATTAAATTAGGCAAAGAAAAATATATGCAACTACATAAAAAGGATCACATCCTCATACTACTTGAACAAACAGCAGTGGTCAAAAACAATGAATTGTGGAATGAACCCCAGGTTTAACTGCAAAAAAACACCCTGTACAGAAAAACTTTAGGCTTCTAACTTCACTGAATCCAGTACTAAACGTGCTTCCTTATATTCCTCAGCTTCTTCCAACTCCTTTTCACTCTCCTAAAATGAAATATAAAAAGCAAGTTTATCCTTCTCAAACTTTAGTATTTTATTACTTATTTGCTCAAGTATTACAAACCATCAATGTAAATAGCTCTAAAATTAAAAGAAAAAGGATTCCAAAACTCATCTAAATATAGTGTAATTCCACAGGTTCTTTTTTACAGGTAAGAGAAGAAATAGGTTTGGTTTGGTCTCATTGCATATTCTCAATACATAAGTGAAAAACATGGTCATCTAAAGCTATTAAATGAATAATTATTAATCATGGACTAAAAGCAAAAAATGATGACTTCTTAATGTGTTACATATATGATAAAATTTAGACCAAAATAATCCCAAAGCTACTCACAATGACAAAGACAACTCTGGCTGGGGTCATGCCAGATTTAAGTATAATCTTTGAATTAGAAAAATGAACTTCCTGCCTATTAATAAACATTATATATCCTCTCATAAGGAAACAAAATACCAACATTTTTCCTTTTCTAATATTTAAAGACTGAAATTTTCCTTCATAGTTTATATAAAAAATTTAACTAATATATTATAGTGGATACAGATAAATGAAATATTATCATCTAAATTATTATGCATAGCAAATTTTTCTTGGTATTTAATAAATAAACAAGGCTATGGTCAGTAATTCAGGTCAGGTCAACAAAAGATAGCAACACACAAACAATTACACAGCAGAGGAAATGAAATGTTGTATGTTTATGTAATATAAAACTTACAGCAAAAGGAATAACAATTTACTTAATTCAGACTATAGGTAAGAATTTCTTGAACCTCTGCATTATACTTGTCTTTGTTCTCTATCAGTAAATATAAGCTGTTTGAGGGTAGAGATATTGCTGAATACATTCTCAAATACATCATCCAAAAACAGTATTATTTTTTTCAAGCAATTTCTATACTACTAGATTCATGAGAGAAAAAAAATCATTTAAATTGTCAGGAAATACAGATGATGCTTCTGTCTCAAGTAGTATTTTAATAGAGTAATTATTTCTTGCTTTCATCTACTCTTTACTTCAAAATCATAGCTTCATTTTGGGCTGTTAAGGAAAGCAATCTTGCCTTTAAAAGGTTCCTATTGATAAATACAAGGTTCTACGTCAAAATTATAGTAAAATGTGAATATTCCGCCCGCCCCCCCCCCTACAGATTTAGTCTTGATGCTATTTTGGTAGGAAAACAAATCTCATTCTCCTTCAAAGAATATATATGATCACACTGAAAAAGCCTCATATTATTTTTGTTATATAGGGAACAACTATGAATCAGGAGACAGCTGTGTAGCTAGCTAGTAATTAATATTAGCTCAAGAAACAGAAATAAAAAATGAAATTAGTAAATGTTAGAATTCATCAAATTACCATCCACATATATTCCAATTGGCTTGTATATAGTATTATACTTTTTATGTCTATTAGGAAAGAAATAAGATGACTTAATTATTCTTAGAATTCTTTATAAAATGACTCTGCCACTGTATCACAAAGCATTTATAAAGCAAGTATAATAACAGTGCATCTAGCTCCAATTTAATGTAAGAGGACTACCTAGATCACAGGGTTTTTCTCTCTCAAACTAATTCAGATTTGAATCTGAGAGAATTCCAGATCCTTTTTATTATGGTCCAAGTGCATTTGACACACTTAAGATTTTCTAAAATTTCAAACAATCTACCTACCTTCAATGTATGAAAAAGATCTTCATGTATGAAAACCAAATAATTCAAGATACTGGGGAACAATATTAGTACCATGAATACCTACCCTGTTAACTCAAATATACTTAATTAAGTTTAAATAAATAGAAGAAACATACTGGACATTGTACTTTTACTGAAGGCATAATTTAAAACAAAATTTGAACTTCATTAATTATTCTGAATATATTGGTACCACTGGGTAAATGAACAAAATATGTCACCAATTAGTTTTCATTGTAAAAATATTAAAAAATTTTTGATCTTTTATATATCAGATTTAAACATGTAAACAAGACAGAGACGTCTCACTCACTAGTGTCTGCAGCAGATCGGCGTAGGCCGCTTCCAGCCTGCGCTGGCAGTCTGGGATCATCATCCGGGACTCCTGCAGGATCTCCGCCTGTAGGAAGAGTCTCTGTGAGGCAGGCAGAGATGGCAGAACTTATGTATTTAGCTTACACTTCTGTAAATATCTAAAGTGACTCTGAGGAATCAGAAAAAAATACAGCTATGTAAAAGTTCAATATTTTCATTTAATTCTTTTATTGACCGCTCTGAAAGAGAGAAGGAGAGATCTATTTTTGTTGTTTCACTCATTCATACATTCACTGGCTGATCCTACATGTGCCCCAACTGGGGGATCGAACGTGCAACCCCAGTGCATCCAAGCAACACTCCAACCAACTGAGCCACCCAGCCGGGACTCAATATTTTAATTTAAATTGTGTTCGTTAGAAGTCAGAATGACTATCATAGTGTAAAATATACAAAGCACAACTTTTAGATCTAAATCTTTTTGGTAATCACCTTCTTGTGCTAAGTGAAAATTAACTGAAAAAGCTTTCCATAGAGCATTTATTTTAAAAGGCTACGTAAAATAAACTATTTCTCCTGCTGTCACAAAGCACCTTTATCCAAAATGGGATCAGCTGGTTATATAAACATCTCCTGCATCTTTTGAGTAATAAAGAAAAACAGTGTTCAGATAATATCACATGGAGATAATTACTGCATGAAAAGAGTTATTGAGTTATTGATCACATCGTGTGCACACTGCAGGAGGCTCTCACTGAAAGACAAAGGTAAAGAAAAATGAAACGCAAAGACCAGCAGGTTCATATTTTTGATGCTTATCATGCATAAAAAGTTATTACTTATCCTTGTGCTTCATTTTAGGAGACAGATTATTCTCCCCATGTAGTTTGAGCCAAATTACTAACCTAGCATCCCTCTGAATCTGAACTTCTGCCTCTTCCTACAGAAGACCCCACAGAATTAAACACAGGAATATTTATCCCAGCATATATTTCTGGACTTAAAAATATTCAAAGCTGGGCTATAACATATAAAATCATAGAAGAAACAAATCAAAGCATTGACTCAGAGACCCAATCAATAAGAGGGTAAATAAATTAGTTTCAGATGTTGGAACTCAAAAGTCTTTTTCCTAAGGTAAGTAGGAAGCTTTATTTCCTTACAACTATTCTTAGAAAGACACAGATATCAATTAAGCATTTAATTCCAAATGCTCATGTGTGATCAAATACCTCTGGTTAAATGAGTACAAAAATCTGAACTTTTACTAAGGTTAATTATCTAGCTCATATAAAATAAAAAGAAGAAAAGCATAACTTAATGGTAACTATAATGTATTTTAACAGAAACTTTAGTAAGTCCCAGCCCCAACAGTTTCGTCATAGCTCACACTGTAAACAAATTCTAATACACAGTGATGCTCTCTCTGTCCATGTTTTCTCAGGTGAAAATCTACTGCTGAACTTGTAATTCTTTTACTGATAAGGCACAGGTTGAAAATTTCAAATGGAGAATCATGACTTGACTTCAGAGCTATGCATACTATGCCTAGATATTTAATCACCATTCCTACGTTATTTTTGTGTATCTGGTTAGTCATGTGAAAAATCAGTGGCAGGCACATTTCACTGGGTAAGCAATTCATATTTCCTCCCCTATGGATTTCCCTTGAGAATAGCTTATAAAAATTAATAAGATAAAAGAAAGAAAGAATAGGTCAAACACATGATAAGCCAAATGTATACTTGTGAACTTTTTAAAAAGCTTTAGTAAGTTGTCACTGAAATAAACTTTAAACAGTGCTATCCAAAATAACTTCTGCTCATTATTATTACAGAGCCAGAATCATCATCTGACTTAATGTGGAGCCAAAGATTAGTCTTTCCTGTACCCAGCCCCAATTCACTCAATAAGCCTACTATATAGCTGCAGGACACCAGGCACAGGAGACACAAAGATGAAAGAGAGAAGGTGTCCATCTTCCAATCCAGTATAGAAGCATAAACATAAAAGCAAACATCTGACACTGCTTCTATAAGGCCATACCAGAGGGAGCCGAAGGCTTCCAGTACAGTGATGACTATGATTTGGAATCCAAAACCATATCTCTTACAAGGCCATAAATCATATGTTTTACCTTGTAACAATGAATTACAACTGCCAGAAATAATTTTAAAAGACAGTATATAAGGTGCGATTATACAGTAAAGACACCCCTCAAAATACTTTCACTACACTAAATGAGTATTACCTTTCAAAGTGTTCCTTTGGGAGGAAGTCACTAAAATGAATGGCGTCTCTGTTTAAAATATCTGAGTAAACTGTCAGTTTATTCTAATGCTGACTATGACAAGACTGAGGTTAGGCCAGAATCTTGACACAGACTGGGAGGTACAAGGAACCTTAGGGGAATAAAACAGGATGCAGTCTTACTAATGTTTAATTGTTTTTAAAAAATTATGCTTTTTTGAAGATGTTATTCAGGTAAAATGGAAGAGGAAGCTTAGTAAGGCTGAGATTATAACAATGAATAAACAACTGAATTAAAATCTGATCAATTTCCTTTAAAAATCAAACATAGATAAATTGGAGGGAAGACACTCTAATTGGCAGATTGTCATCCCCCCCCCCCCCGAAAGAAGAGTTCTGTGAAGTAATCTGGTCAATGTTAAGTTTTGCTATTGCGTGATTGGCAGAAGGATTGCAGCTTCTTTACTGATCCAGATCACTCTCACACAGGGCTGGCTCTAAGTATAATCTACAGGCACTCCAACGCTGGATACTGGCTGCTTCTGGAACCAATGGTAACTGCTAAACTGAGCTCCAGAGAAGTCCAGAGATAACTGAACAATGGTTATATCTTTTCTTTTATATTATGGTAAAATAGCAATGTGTTAATAAACATGTTGATAAATCCATTTGACAACAAAAGAAAATGGCAGCTGTATGAGGTGATGGATTTGTTGAGTAGCTTGACTACAGTAAATAGTTCACAATGTACACATAGGTCAAATCATCAGGCTGAACATCTTAAATCTATATAATTTTCAACTATACCTCAACTATATTATATCTGGAAACCTACAGAAGACACCACAGACTTAAACACAGGAATTATAGTCAACTATACCTCAATAAAGCTGAGGGGGAAAAGATATAAAGATACTCTTGCCAGAAAAACAGATGGAGAATCACAGAGTCGGAAAGGACATAGTGGTCATCTAGTCCAGTCTCAACTTACAAATAAGAAAGTCAAGTCTCAGAGTGATTAGCTAGTTGACAGGGCCTGAGTTACAGCTGACGACTTTGATTTCAACTCTTAGCATGTGGATTAGTGGTAGTGGTTGGTAGCCAGTCTCCACGACGGCCCCCAATGATCCTCATCTCCTGGAATTCTTGCCCTTGGGCAGCCACTTCCCATACCGAATTTGGGTTAGCTCTGTGTGACCAAGGGAATGTAGTGCAGTTGGGATTCTCAGACTGAAGATCTGAGGCTAGGTCTTAAAAAGCCTTACAGTTTCCACATGGCTTCTTGGAATGCTTACTTTTGGGAACCCTTCTCTCAAACTAGAAGAAATTCATTTGACTTGTGTTTGAGGTTACTGCTGATTAGTTAAGGATGTAAGAAGAATCCCATGGGTCAAAAATAATCTGGTTCCTTAAACCCTAACAATAGGAATAACTATTTTAAATATAAATGGTCTGGATTCACCAGCTAAAAGACACACATTCACAGACTGGATCCAACTTTTTGGAGTCGTCAAGAAACTCACTTCAAACAGAACAAAACAGATCAAAAATAAAAGGATGAAAAAACAAATGTCATGCACTAAACATTAAAAAAGGAGTGGCTCTATTAATGTTGGATAACTGGACAGACTTCAGAGCAAAAAAACTTAGGAAGAAAGAGCATTATTACACAATGATAAAATGATCAATACCCCCAAGAAGTCACAGAGATCCTAAATGTGTATGCACTAACAAGATAGTTTCAAAATACAGAAAACAAAAACTGATAAAACTAACAGTCAAATCCACAAATATATTTGAGGATTTTAATACCCCATAGAAGTACTAGACTAAAAAAGAAATCAGCAAAGGTGCAAAAGAACCGAACAACACCATCAACCAGTAAGGTCTAATAGACATTTATAGAACATTCTACCTAAGAAAGTTAAATACAAATACTTTTCAAGCACCCATGAAATATTCACAGCAATACACTGCACCCTGGGTCAAAAAACAACAACAAAACAAACAAAACAAAAATAACAGGACAAACAGAAAGTCTTTAAACTCTTAGAAGTTAAACAACATATTTCTAAATAACCCATGGCTCCACAAGAAAGTCTCAATGGAAACAGAAATATATAGATAAGTGAAAATGAAAATATAACACATCAAGTTTTGCAGGATTCAGCTAAAGCAATGCTGAGAATTTTACAGCACTAAATCCTTACATTAAAAAAGAAGATCTCAAATTAAAAATTTAAGTTCTTAGTTCGGGAACTTAGGAAAGGAAGAACAAAATAATCAATCCCAAAGCAAGCAGAAGGAAGAGAATAGAAATAAGATCCTAAACCAATGAAATTAAAAACAACAGAGAAAAAGTAATAAAACAAAGAGCCGACCTTTTGAAAAAATTGATAACCCTTTGTAAGATCAACAAAGACAAAGAAAGAAGGCACAAACTACCAGTATCAGTAATAAAAAAGAGCACTACAGATCTTCAACCATTAAAAGGAGAAAAAATACTACAAACAATTTTATAATATTCTTCTTGATGCCCCTGATTTTAACAACTTAGAAGAAATGGAAATCGCTAAAACTCAGCTGATAACCTGAATAGTTCTATGATTATTAAATAAATTAAATTTGTAATTTAAAAAGTGCTTGAAAAAGCAAATCACTAAAACTCAATTAATAATCTAAATAGTTTTATAATCAAATACCTTGAATTCATAATTTAAAAGTTCCTGAAAAAGAACTCTCCAAGCCTAGATTGTTCCACTGAACAATTTTATCAAATATTTAAAGAAGAAATTAGTACCAATTTTACACAAATCCTTCAAGAAAAAAGGAGGG